TCTGAGCTAAATCTGATTCGAAATTCAACTCCTGCATAGACCGTGAACGCGATAAGTCGGGCCATTTGCCTACATCATCTCCGCCTATTTTTTTTTGCGTTAACTGAACTGCTCTATCTTTTATCGTTTCGCTGTGCCTTCCTGTCCTAAGTGCAGTTCACCATCATTTCTTGTGTACTCCCGTACTTGTAACGGGTATTTTCGAAGATGCCGTGCCTATTGGCTAAAGTCTCCTATGAAGCTCAAGGGAGGGCTTGTTGATGTGACTGCTACTTGCTGAAAAAAGATTCAGTACTCTCAACAAACCTTTCTGCCGATTGACTTTTCTGGGAAGAAGTCAACCAGCGGAAACGTTGAGTTCGGAAAAGTACTTCACAAAGCGGTTACAACTGGCCAACCGTGTATGACTTACCTATGCGTATAAACATCCAAAAATGGCAGAGAGGAAGATTATGTCAGCCCTTCGCTCTCGGTGTGGAAAGGGTTCATGTTCCGCTTACGACTCTAACCATAAATCCAGGCCATTGAAACCATTCTAGCTCCGCTCATACTTCCATTTGCTGCATTTCTTTCGCTGAACCTTTTAGGACCTTAAAGGAATCTTCCACGGAAAAAGCTCCGCCCTCATTACCACAGAAAACGATACCTTAAAGGAATCTTCCACGGAAAGAGTGATCATTTTGTCTTGTGTGTAGGATTAGTATTATCGAAACTAACGCTTATGTTCCGTTCTTTTTGCTATGCTCATGAGGCTAGGGGCCTAAGGGGTATCGTTTTTCTGTGGTAATGGAGGCGGAGCTTTTTCCGCGGAAGATTCCTTTAATTAACTTCTGCCACGATTTATCAGGAGATTTTGAACTAGCAATGAAATAGTTAGTACTGAGGCCCCGCATAAGGTGGCCGGCCTACTACTGCTTACTTTGAATCACGAACAGTCTGATCGCCTCTCTTTTTTCAAGAACCGGTCTATGATGGTGGGTGAACCACCTTTGGATTATTGCATTCTTTGATCTCGAACTTCAGTATGGTTGCTGACACGTTTTGTTGGGTAGTTGTATTCGACCCTTTCTGCCTCTTAAGAAGGCGATCTCGCCGAAATGTTGGCCCATTGAAGGTCAAACCTCTTTTACCTTTTTACCAACTTCGTGAAAAGCTTTAAGGAAGATATCAACCACAAGTACTAAAATCTATGCTCCAGAAGCGATCTCCCCCACCATCCTTCC